CACCCTCATGCCTAACCGGTCCAGCTTCACTCTGGGCAGACACCATGCCAAGTGCTCCCGTGCCTGCCGGGGCCATGTTACAGCACGCGGGCACTCTCTGACTTCCTTCTAGAGGAGGGATTGCAGTCAGGACATGCCTCATGGCATGTCTCCCACGCAGCAACCCTGAGGGAGCTCCGTCATTATCTCCGTTTCTCAGGTGAGGACCTAGCGGCCCAGGGAGTCAGGGAGCTCCATGGGTAGTCTGGGCCCAACTGCAAAGCCGGCTTCACATCTGTGGGTCCTGTTCCCTGCGAGTTGATTCACCTTTGCAGCCCAGTGCCTGGCATACACTAGGCACTTCATAATATGTGTTAGCCAAGTAACAAATCAACAGCTTAGAAACTGAGTAAGTGAATGAGTCTTCTGCAAGAGGGCTTGGACGGCAGGGCGGATGCTGTTTCCCATGGTCCCTTCTCCCTCTAGCACCCCAGTGGCACCCTGTCATAGCGCCTCTCCAGGTGGCTTGCAGAGATCTTTAGAATCTGACCCCAACTCCACACCCCAAGGCTTCTTGACCCTGCCCATTTCTCCTCTGCTCAAACCAGACAGCCCTTCTCCCCAACGTGATTCCAATCCCCTTCTCCCTACAAGGCCTAGGGCCCATCTCTCCGTGAAGATGTCTGTCTATCCGCGCCCATCTCCCCCACCCCCACCCCACTGGTCCCGGCATCTTGGGCTCCTCAGCAACTGTCTGAGCGCATCTTCGAGGGCAGCACAGTTGGAAGAAAGCCATGTCCTATGAACACTCAGAGTCTAGACCAGTGGTCAGCAAACCGTGGCTCTCGAGCCACACGTGGCTCTTTGGCCCCTTGAGTGTGGCTCTTCCACAAAATACCACGTGCAGGCATGCATGTACAGTGCGATTGAAACTTCATGGCCCATGCGCAGAAGTCGGTTTTCAGCCTGGGCGAGTCTATTTGAAGAAGTGGTTCTAACGCCACACTCAAGGGGCCAAAGAGCCGCATGTGGCTCGGCAGCCGCGATTTGCCGACCACTGGTCTAGACCATTCCAAACAGCGCGAAGCTCCCACACCTTTCTCAGTAGATGAGCATTTAGGTGCATTTCCCAAATTTCTGCCATTTTCATAGCATCTGGATAACGTTCACCCAATCAGCCCTACTGCTTTTTAGTTAATATTTTTCCTTAAATAATCAACCTTAAGTTAATTCCTCTTCTCCTTCCCGCCTGCCTTCCTCTCGCTCTAAGTAATGTCTATGCGGTCAGGCTGACGCTCCTGTCTTCTGTGGACCCTCTCCCGTCACCTCCTTTGTCACCAGGGAGGGGCACTGCGATTTGGGGGATACTGGATTTCAGGATTAAATGCTTTGTAAGCCACAGACGGACCTTTCAGAATAACCTTGGCGCATATTGTAAATGATTTTCCTGTCTTCTTCGTGCTCTCCCATTTTTATAGAAGCACTTGCTGCTTCTGTAACTAGAAACTATAAATGAACGTTGGAAGGTCACTGAGGCGCCGTCTGTGTTCTCCCAAACACGGAGTTAGGTGAAGAGAGGTAGTGGGGTGAGTGCCCAGGCGCTGGACAAGCTAATCCAAGAGTGGGCTGACTTCAAGTTCACGCTCAGCCCTCCTTCCGATTGTTGAACTTGAAGGAAATCTCGCCCCTCCTGCTTTTCTCCCCGCAGCTGTCACAGGGTGTGCAGGGAACAGGAAACAGGATTAGAAGATTAACAGGGAGCCTGCCCGTGCCGCCTGGCTGTTCCCCCAGCCGCCTCTGGACAGTCACCTTCCTGGGACACTCGTCACTACCTGCTGCCACCTGGGAGTAGGGGCCACCGCTCAGAATAAACTCTGAACAAGGGCGAACTGGGAGCAATGGGGAGTCTCCAGGTCAGACATATTTACTGAGGCTGGACCAGTCCCCCCCAGACAGTCTCATATCACTCCTCCAAGAACCTGGAAAGCGAGCGCCACATTTACTAGTGCCCACTTCACAGCTGAGGGCTCTGAGGCTCCGCTTGTCCAAGGTCACATGCATAGTGAGGATGCACCCAGGTCTGTCTGACTCTAAAGCCTCCTGTTGGAGCCACGCTGCTTAGTCCCCTGTCCTTCCCACAGGCCACGTCCAGGGAAAACGGGGCACAGGGCCCTGTGCGCTCCCCACCCGGTCACTGCTGAGCCCTCTTGTTCCCAGCACAGCCCCTCACACAGCCACAGAGACCCACGTGGCTCTTGCGCTGAGAGGTTTGTCCATTACCAGCCACCCCTTCCTGCCCCCCATCTGCAGTGCCTACCAGGAAAGTCACCTACCCAGACCCTCCCCAACCCACCGCAGCCAGGGGCTGGTTAGGACAGCCCGTTCAGACCGAAGGAGAGTCAGCTGCCTAAATCTCTTCCCGCGTGGCTGGAACTTCAGGGAGAGTCCCCAGGATCACTGACATCTGAGCTCAAACGCCTGCACCTCCCACCTGCCAATCAGCTCCCCACGTGCAGGGGCCAGGCCTGGCCCGGGAAAGCAGTGAGGGGTCCCAGGGGCAGATGGGAGTACGCAGCCTGCAGCCAGGGGAAGCTTCTTGGATAAGGTTTTCGGGACATTTTTAAAACGCTGCGGGACATGGGACAAATTGTTAAGGATCGGGACTGTCCCGCCAAAAGCGGGACGTCTGGTCACTTTATTCCTGGAGGAAGGGAAAGCCACAAGGTGGCAACAGTGACGGGTAGGGACAAGTCTGAGGCAGACCAAACGTATTGTTCAGAGAAACAAACGTCGCCAAAAGAAGTGGGTTTGAGGCTGAAGCAGAGAGGCAGAGCAAGGGGAGTGCTAGGCCATACGACTTGTCAATCACGTGAGGCAGTCTGGGCGTCACACTGAAAACAGTGGGAGGCCAGATGTTGTAGGTGTGAAGTAACCTAGTCTGACTTTGGCTTTGCAAAGATGTCTTCAGCGGCTACAGAGAATGTCTGGGAAGCAAACAGGGCAGAAAGCAGGTCTAAATAAGTGAGGAGGCTTGCGCTGGCAGGGGCGGTGGTGGTTAGAATAGACAGGCTGGACAGAGAAAGGGAGGAGAATTCTGAGCTACGTTAAGAAGGTAGAATCAGCCGAAACCGGTTTGGCTCAGTGGATAGAGTGTCGGCTTGGGGACTGAAAGGTCTTGAGTTCGATTCCGGTCAAGGGCATGTACCTTGGTTGCAGGCACATCCCCAGTAGGGGGCGTGCAAGAGGCAGCTGGTCGATGACTCTCTCTCATCAATGTTTCTAACTCTGTCTCTCTCCCTTCCTCTCTGTAAAAAATCAATAAAATATATATATATTTTTTTTTTTTAAAGAAGGGAGAATCAGCAAGACCTGGGAACTAGTGAAATTTGAGGCATTGATTCAAAGCACCTTGGTTTGTGGGGAGGAGGGAGGAAGTGGGAGCTGAAAAACCCTGAGATCTCAGACTGGAACTGGGCGCCCTAAACCCAGTCCCCACCGCACAATCTGGACCCTTCCCTGCTGGAGACAAACCTTTGTCCATGGTCAATCGGCCTGAACAGCAGGAACCTGCAGAACCTGCAGACGGGGCTGGGAGTTTGGACATGGTCGGAATAAAAACGACCTCGGAGCCTAAGCCTCGGGGAGTTTGACCCCTCTCAACTTTATGTGGTATTTGTTGTCAACTTTTCTACTGACCAGAGACTAAATCCAACTCCAGTTTCAAAATGGAGATGTGCTTAATGCCAAATGTTTAGCTACAAAAAACATCGTACTAATCGATGCTCATGAAGAAAACCAATGATGACGGCAGGAAGATCTGAGGGTAGTGTCCATGTGTACACGTGAAGATAATGACATTTTTATGTTTACTGAATACAGTTAATAGACAATATTACATCAGTGTCAGATATACAAAAAGTCAACACTAATATGCCTAACCAAGTGGCCAGCACATTAAGTCTAATAACCATCATCAAAGCTTATCATAATATGATTGACAATAACCCCGTTGTACATGACATCCCGAGACTTATTTCTTTTAAAACTGGAAATCTGCATCTTTAATTATCCTTTGCCCTTTTGCCCTTTTGCCCTTTATTTTTTAAAGTATGCAAAATTAGATCTGGGAGGCCTGCTATCTAAGATCAGTTTCCGCAGCAACCTAGCGTTCAAACCACATTGCTACGGCATTTTTCTCTCTCCGGTCCCGTGCCTTCCTCTGACTGAGCATGTTTGTCCATCTGCCTTTCTGTGTCTTCCAGAGAGGATAAGGAAAAGCTTCCTAAATGATCTCATTTTATTTTGAAACACGAAACCCACCACAAGGGGAAGGGGAAAAAACACACTTTCTTGGTCAAAGGGATCAAGATGTATTTCTAATTCTCTTGCCATCTGGTAACTTATTTTGGAAACATATCAAGAGGTAGAGAGAGTGTTTGACGAAATTGGCAATCCCTTCAAATCAGGCCAAATTCCCACTATATACATTTGTACAGCCCCATCTATTCATCATATCAGCGACTGCGACCACAGGATATGTAAACGTATGGAGTGATTTTTATCACCATCTCCCAATCCCCCGGTGCCCTGGACACCACGTGGTGTCGAGTTTGTCTGTATTTCAGCCCCAGGAAATCAAGTCGTTAACTTCCCTTTCATTGACCAAGAGCTGTTGCCAGAAAGAAAATCATTCATCAGCCGTGATTGATGGGGAAGCAGAGAGAGAGGACTCCGCTAGGAGGAGAGAGACGGCAAAGGAAGAGGAGCAAATGGTAGCTTTCGTTCCCTAGGCAGAGGAAGGGGGCCAAGATCTCTGAACATCCCACCCCCACGCTTCCAGACACACTGTCCCGGATGCCTGACGGAGGAAACCACATGTGAGGCTGATCAGTAAATAGGACTCAAGGACGCTCCTCTGTACGTGGTGGGCTGCTGGAGGGAGGCGCCTTGTGGCTGGTGGCTCACACGGGCTGTTTAGGGGGCACGTGGACAGGAGAGAGCTCAGGAACCCACGTTCTTACCTTTGCATTCTTGACATTCTGTGCAGTTCCATGTCGTCGCTGCCCCGGAAGCCTTTGGCGAAGGGATTGTTCTCGATCTTTAACTGGGTGATCTGAAGAAAGGAGAGAGTGTGATTGCTATGAGACGACCTTGGACGTGAGCTCAGATGGTGCTGCATAAATGCAGCCTTTGGCAACAACAACAACGATATATATATATATATGACAAATTAAGGTATATATATATTTATATATATGTTTATATGTAGCTTAATTTGCTATATATATTTCTGTGGACATCGAGGTTCAGTCACTCAAGCTTCACCGGGACCCACAACTTGATTCAGGCGAAAGCTTTAAAAAATATCCTAGATCAGACTCCTTTTAAACAGAGAAATAACCGGATTTGGTTTGCCCATTACCTAATTCGAGTCGTACTCAGCATCATTGTGGCCATTTGGTGGCTGTTGCTGATTTACTCTTAGCATTCTGTGTTCCAAACACCATCTGGGCCTCCCCGGCACCCACCTCCGCTTCGGAAAGGTGCGCGCGTTGGCACGGTGCCACTCATCCTACAGCTGGCAGCCTCCACTCGGGAGGGCTCGCTTACTGCTCCATGTCCTGCAATGTCTCGTGTTCATTTCTGTTTTCCTGGGAGACTCTGCTAGCTCAGGTGGAAAATGGTGTCTAATCAAATAAGCACCAGCGGATAGAATTATAGCACATATAATGGCTATGGAACAATTACCAAACCTCTTTCATTTTTGAGGTAAGGGAGAAAGAGCCCTCTTCTTGGATGCTTTTGTTGGAATGTATGAAGTTTAGTCATAGAACAAAGGCCCAGAACTTCCATGTCAACCATCAACACACATTCTATGAGGATGAGTGAACAGTAGCAGATCCAGATGAGAGGGTATTTGCCGGAAGTATTTCCTGACAGCTGGGTGTGAATTAATTTATATGTATCAAATCGCTCTGTGGACATCGAGGTTCAGTCACTCAAGCTTGACCTTCACGGTCGTTGTCATCTCTAAATCACACCTGTACACTGGTCAGTTTAATATTTTTACTTAAAGCTAATCAGTTTTTACTTCAACGTATTTAGTACAAAATATTATATCGCGTCTATGTCAAACCAGAATCACTTGCTATTCCACAGAAAGAAAGCAATTCTTTCCATTCTCTCTGCTGGCACACAAAGAAAGCTCTAAACTCAAGACGGGCTCTCACTTTGTTACAAGGGGAGATTAGACACCTTTCAATCACAAGAGAGTACCAACTAAACTAAGAGTGTCTCCCTGATGGTGGAATAATCAAAAGAGAACAACTTTCCATGACTCCATCATATTCACGTAACCCCAAATCCTCTCAATCTACCTCCATAGTATAGTTACAGATGCTCAGAATCTCATGGGGTGGTAAATGAAGGTGCCCTCTAACAGTGCATTTGGGGGCAGACATTCTGGCATGTCCTGTTTTCTACAAAAGATGGTTTAGTAAGGGCTTCTAACTCCCAACGCTCTATGATGAGCTATATGATATGTATGTATATGCGTGTGTTCATGATAAAAACATATGCAAATTGAATATTTAAAAACATGCTATATGATTCCAATCCTATGGCATTTGGAAAAGACATACCTATGGGAACAGTAAGAGGAAGTGTGGCTGCCAGGGTAGAGAGGGGGAAGGGACGAGTGGGCAGAGCACAGGGGGTATTGGGCAGGGACACTGTGTGATCGGTGGTGCTGGGCAATGTCATTGAACGCTTGTCCAACCCGCAGCACGGACAGCGCCGAGAGTGAGCCCTAGGGGGAACCGAACTTGGGGTGGTGATGTGTCAGTGTCGGTTCGCCGATTGTGACAAATGTCCCCTCTGGTGGGGATGTTGATAGTGAGCCAGCTGTGCATGGGGGTGGGGGCGGGCAGGAGGAATGCAGCAAATCTGTGTGCCTTCACTCACTTCCCTGAGACCCTAAAATTGCTATAAAAAAATCTATTACAAAATTTTTAATATGTATGTATGCTTATCTATATGCATACACATCGCCTCATCTTTTTAAAAAAAATTATACCCATTCATTCCTGCAGCTTTCTGATTTTGACTTGACTCTTCAGAGTCTACAAAATCCCTTTTAAAAAATGGTCTTTAGCCCGGCCAGTGTGCTCAGGGGCTGAGCGTCAACCTATGAACCAGGAGATCACAGTTCCATTCCCCGTCAAGGGCACATGCCCAGATTGGGTATTCAATCCCCAGCCAATCAAAGATTCTCTCTCGTCATTAATGTTTCTCTCTCCCCCTCTCCTTTCCTCTCTGAACTCAATAAAAACATATTTTTTTAAAAACCAAACAAACAAACAAACAAAACAAAAAACCAACTGTCTTTAAAATGTGCACTCCTGAGTCCAGCTCTGTTTTGAGTCTAAAAGCCCATCACCTAATGGGGCTTTCTTTCCCTCTCAGGTTTTGTCACAATAAAATACAGCCCACTAGACCACAAATTCCTTTTTTAGAGGGGGGTGGGAGATTCTCAAAAAGTTAAGTAAAAATCCCATCACTGACGATCTACTTAGAAAATTAGATCTTGCCCCGCTCCCTGTGCCCCTCCCTGCAGGCCCTGAAGCCAGTCCCTGAGCCAGTACCGAGGACACATGGATGTGGCATCAGCTCTGAATGAATGCCCAGTCCGTGCTGTCACCTCTCTACTGGGAGCTCAGGACAAAAGCATCACCTGAGAGAAAAAGAAAGGGGTAGATTTGGATAGTTTACCAAAGTATTTTGCTCAAACCCATTTCTTGCCCCTCAGTTTACTTCTACCTAATCCTTGTGCTTCTCACCACGGCTTTAAATGCGGTTGCATGGGATAAGCACCAGATGGTGCCCAGACACTAAGGTGGGTTGATCTTGCGTATATCTTGCTTTGGAGACTGAATATAGATTCTATGCATGTGAGCACTACCCCTGAGGGATGTTAGCAGACCAGCTTAGCTCAGGTGAGAATGTCCGTCTTATTTCCCATAGGTCAACACTACTTCCTAAGAACAATGTCTTCTTTATTTCGTCCGTGCAATAACCCTGGCCTTGAATTTGCCTTCGAGTGTTCTACCTGGCAGCCAGCTCACTCCCGGGCGCACAAACACACGACCAGATACACCGTGATGCCCAGTTCTACCAAAAGGCTCCCCTGAAACTCACTCCCATGCTCCCTCTGCAGTGAACGTAGACCCGGATATCTGGGGGAGGGCTGGAGGACGGGGGGGAAATCCAGTATAAATGCCAGCTCCAACCAGTGAGACAGAGGTTGTAAAAATTAATGAGAATAATTGTTGTGAATTCTTGCATTTTTTTAAAAAAAAAAAAAAAGAAAGAAAAAAAAAGAAAAGAAAAACTCTCACGAGGGCCAAAAATCTTAATTATGTCTCTCTATTAGGGGTTCATTTCCTGGTCCCGACCAGCAAGCTCGTACCTCATAAATACAGGCTCCTTACACAATGATTTAAGCAGGAGGAAAATGCCTTTTAATGGCAACGTAAGTTAATATCGGGGGACAGCCGTGCGCGCATACACGGCTATTGTTGCAGCAGCAGGGAAATGAAATGCCCACGTGACCTTTTTTTAACACCTAAGTATTTCTAGGGATTGCTCCCGGAGCTGCTGACAACCCCAGCAGAAACCTCACAAAAACGTGTTTCACGGAGCGAGCGTCGCTGGGGAAGATTCGAGTTGTTTAAATATCTTTCTCAAGCTGTCAGCCATCTGGGGAAATAACTGCCAAATCCAGCTCGGGATCGCAGCTGGGCCGAGGAAATACGTCCGTGTTGTCGTTAGCGGCCCGTGGGCACCCGGGGCGTTGGCTGCAGCCTGAGACACGGGCCCTGTCACCTACCTGCCTCCACCTGGTACTTGAGCCCTTTGGGCCACAAATAATAAAATAAAATAAAATGGTGGCTCCTGTTTTACAAAACTGCCCTGCCAAGTCAGTCACACGATTGCTCTTCTCTCCCTGCTCACTTATCAGAGCATAATGCTGGAGGTAGTCCTGGAATCGATGACACGATCAGTGGGCGAATGAAGCCCCCAAAACTGACCGTTTGTGGTTTGGCAACCACGATAATAAGAACTTATTGAAATCTTAGTCTTTTGGATTCTGAAATAGTCAGCATAGCCGAAACCGATTTGGCTCAGTGGATAGAGCGTCGGCCTGCAGACTGAAGGGTCCCAGGTTCGATTCCAGTCAAGGGCATGTACCTTGGTTGCGGGCACATCCCCAGTAGGGGGTGTGCGGGAGGCAGCTGGTCGATGTTTCTCTCTCATCAATGTTTCTAGCTCTCTCCCTTCCTCTTCCTTCCTCTCTGTAAAAAATCAATAAAATATATTTTAAAAAATTAAATAAATAAAAAATAAATAGTAAATAAAATAATAAAATAGCATAGGAAAGAGTTTTCCAGAGCCTGCCTTTCGGATGGAGCAAGCTGCCCTGGGAATAACTGACCAGCGATGGAGCCAGTCAATGGAATTGTCACTCACCCTGTGCCAGAGTCTGCGCCACATCCTTCCCTGGATTCTCCTGGAATCCTCATAGCGAGAACAAGAAAATCTTCTGCTGTCCCCATTTTACAGGTGGGGAAAGCTGAGTTCAGTAACTTGCTCAGCGTTAAGTGGACCCAGCCGTCTGCCTCCGGAGTCCCACCTTAACCCGATGCAGCCAGTGGTCAGGCTCAGGCGGCTTCTACCCGTGAACTCGCGGCCTCCACACGAGGCCCAGGCGGGACAATAAAGCCACAGAGTCCACAAATCACACTCCGCCTGGCCCGCTGAGTGAAGTCACACCGCACAGATCCACGCGGGCACGTCGGCAGCGGCCCCGGACTTGGCCTGGAAAACTGGGCTGCTTTGGACTTCCTCCCGACAGACAACATAGGTGCCTTGCGCGCCCCACAACTGAAGAGGGGGAGACCTCCCCACGGGGAGAGTGACAGAAAGCTGTCTCCCACCGAATCCCTCCGCCAGGCTGGCTGAAAAGGCCTAAAATGTACAGCGCAGCTGGGCTCCCTGGACCAACCAATAAAGAAAAGAAGCAGTTCCTGTGTGTGGTCACCAATTCAGAAACACCCGAACGCCTATCTGGAGATGCATGAGCATTTGCACACACCTAGATTCGCTCCACGCTCACACGCACACGCCCCACTGGACGAGCTCCTGCATGCAGGCACATCAGCAAATACATTCGTTGGAGAAGACTTCTTTTAAGTAGAAATTTTACAGGGCACACAGATACCAAATTACAGCATCATACATATAAAGTTTATATGTTAGTAACCAATGTTACCCCAATAAATTTAATTTTTACATATGAGAAAAATAGAAATTTGGGGGGCGGGTATAGGCACAAGTGGTTATGGCCCTGGTTTCCTGGGTACATACAGGTGTCAAACTAGTCAAATGTGTACTTGCCATATTCTAGTTTATTGTGTGACCATCCTGCCTCAGTAAAACTGTAAACAGAGAAAATCCCCCTGATGTACCTTTGTGATGGTGACTACACACAGCTGAGGCATTTCCCCCAGAGGGTGTGCCCAGCCACGTGTCTCTGGCAGGTCACTGTCCTGTGTCCACCCCTTCCTTCCTTTCTGTGAGAAGTGGGGCTTTTATATATTTCTGGACCCTTTGGCAGGCCCGGGCACCTTTAAGAATATAGATATATGGCAAGGAGCATCCTGGCTGCTGCTGTCCCCACTCTTCTCCCTGTGACTATCACCACAAGCTAAACAGGTTTACAGCAGCGACTGGGCGACAGGTCCCCAGCAGCCAGACTCCAATTCGCCCGAAAGGGTTGTGCAGCTTTCAGCGTATTTAGTCTTAACGTTTTGGCTCTTGTCAGTTCAACAGATGGGGAGAACTCAGTCCAATCCTCTTTCCCTTTTAAAAAGTCATTGCGTTTTGGGGGCGAGCGAGTTGTCTTTGGGAGGAAAGCTCTCTCCGGACCTGGGTTCCCAGACCGGCCTTGTGGCCTGGAGGGGCCCATCCATCACAGCCAGCCTGTCACTGACACTGCATCGGGAGCTGACCCTCAGCATTCTCTAACTGCCTGCTTCCCGGGGCTCCCCGCACACCAGGCCTGAGTGACCTATACGGGGTGCTCTCGCCCTGCTGGCCTCCCTCGCCTGGTCCCACAGCCCCTGTAATGTCCTTACCTCGCAGGTGGGGTATAGGACCTGCGAGGGGGAGGGGCGTGGCCATTCCCAGGCTCATCTCCTTAAGTTGTTCACGTGACCCACCCTCACTGATCCTATATGGAACCTCTACTTTCCCCTACAGCAGCCCTCTAACCCCAAATCACTGCTTAATACTCTTAACAGTCCACAAGGGCAGTGGCTGAGGCCCCTCCCAGAACCCACATCTTGCCTTCAGGTTCCAGATCTTTCCATAATAAGCCTTAGGAATCGTTCAATCCTACCCCACCCCCCTCCCCCAATATAATGAATCGCCGCTCCCTCAGGTTTCTAAAGGACAGACATGAACCCTGACAAGTCAAGACAGCCCTGACTGCTGGGCAAGGAGAGATTATGCTCCCACAACCTGCGGTTGCGGGGCGCTCTGTTCCAATGCCACTGCCAGGCTTTGAAATGCCCACATCAGACTCTGGCTTTCGAACAGCTGTGGGGGCTGGCACCATCCCACCTCCGCCCCGAGCTACAGCCACCTTCTCCCAAACCACGCACTGACCACTGCCCGCCTCACCAAGCTGTGGCTCTGCAGGATCCTGGCTGAGTCCAGGGAGGGTGGTCCAGGCGCTGGTGGCAGAGCCTGCTCGGTTTTTGTTTCTGTTTTTGTTTTTGTAACAATGCAAACCTTGCTTTAGCATGTGGTGTGTGTGTGTGGGAGGGGCATGGATCAGAAATCGCTGAAACCAATTAGAGAAGCATCTGGAAAATCCAAGCCCAAGGTTTCCGGCAACCTTGCCACCTGCCCGGATTGGAGTTGAAATGCATCCAAAAGGCAGAGGGAGGGCGGGCAGCAGGAGCCGGTCTCCACAGAAACGGGGCGGCCCGGCCCCGGCCCCACCCAAGAGCATCAGTCATGGGCGAGGTGGCCTTTCTTCTCCCTGAAAATGTCTTGGGTGTAGCGGGGTGTCTCCTCTTGGAGTGTGTGTGTGTGTGTGTGTGTGTGTGTGTGTGTGTGAGAGAGAGAGAGAGAGAGAGAGAGAGAGAGAGAGAGAGAGAGAGAGAAAAGAGGGAGAGAAAGGAGTCTGCCAAACCCATGAAGATAGAACAAAAAAGCTACAACCCTCAGGCCATGGCTCTGCCTCAGGCCCATCCCCTGGAGTAGACGCTGGGGCCTGCGGTGAGGACCTGAGCCGCCCAGAGCCTGCAGCTCCAGCCGGAGACCCTCCAGGGTCCTGGGACCGAGCCGCAGCCCCGGGCACTGGACTTACCTTGTGATTCTGGTAGGAAGTCACCGCGATAAACGCAGTCTCAGGAAAGACGTGGGTACAGAAAGCAGTATTTTTTGAGCCAAATCCATTATTTTCGTCCGCTTTCACGATGTGTAATCTGGGCTGGTATTTGTGCATGGAATTTAGAATAATCTAGAAATAATACAGAAAGATGAGATTGTAAGAAAAAATGAAAACCCCTTTGTTTCCAGATAAAACCCCGCACTCTACCCCCAAAATGAGCCTCCTCGTAGAGGCTCTCGAAAAATAGTCCGATTTTTCCCCCTCCTGTTTTGAAAAGGGTCCAGTGATTTCATTAAAAAGAAACATTTCAAAAATGACAATTTCCAACCGAAAAAGCCAGGGTAATATTCCAGGAATCTACCCAAAGCACACACGGCAGTAAATCAGAATTCTTAATAAAAGTTTGCTTAATAAATTAACTCCCTACGTAGGGCGCTTTTGCCCCCAACGGGAGCAAAAAACTGTGTTCCCCCACCCCCCCAACGCCTGGTGACAATTTTTGGAATTAGAGGAGACAAGAAATAAACAGTCAAACATACAAATAATTCTGTCCCCCCCCCCTTTAAAAACAACAACAACAACTACTCTAAGATGCAAGAGAAGAGACAAGAATTGTTGGCAGAACCGGGATAAAAATCGGGCTTGGCTCTGAGAAGAACGTACCAAGTGTGAGTCAATGAAAAAAAGAAGAAGATGGGGTGGGGGACCCTAAGGATGGCGAGATAGGGGAGCCTCTCCCCCTTTACCTTCCGACCCGGCTGCCCCGAGGTTCTCCTTCTACAACTCTATCAGCATTTCAGGGTCCACAACCGGAATTATCTCCACGTGGCCCCAGACCGAGCAGCGGCCTCGGCTTTCTGGGGCACATTCCGTCTCCTTCCTTTGGACTCTGAGTTTGGGGAGCCCTCGGGGACTAGTGGGGTCTGGGGGATGTGGCTGCGCTGCTATTCCAGCCGCTGGGAGGGGGCGGCCGGGCAGGACCGTTCCCCAGAGGAGCATCTCCTAAGGCGCTAACTAGTCCGCCTGCTCCACAGGCTGGTAACGCCCGATCTTTACCAAAACCTTCTAATCTCCACCCGCAGCGACGGGGCGAGGGCTGAGAATCGGGCCTGCTCTTCCCCGGCTGCAGGCCACAGTGGCAGGGAGGTAGAGGTCTGGGGGTCTCTGATCATTTGCACTGAAGCCCGCTCTGGGCCATCGCTGGAGACCGGCCTGGAGGAGGGGAAGAGCCCCCGCGGCTCCCGGTCCGGGCCGAGCGGCTCTAATCTCGGCCTCCGCAGCCCGGCCGCCCGCCTGGCGACAGAGAGACGCAGCGGGCCCGGCGCAGCCCCGCCGGCGCGGCCGTCGGCCCGGCTTAGCCAAATTGCTTTGACGGCCGGGGCCGGCGCGGAGACGCAGCGCGAGGGCGATCTGATGGCCCCTAATTTCATTAGGGCGGCGGCGCGGCGCGGGGCTGGGAGCCGGGGTTTGCGGTGCGAGTGCCGGCAGCTGCGGAGCGCTCTCTCCCTCTCCCGGGCTCCTGGAGACCTGACTCCCATGATGCCCTCCGAGTGGAGGAGGGCCCTGAGCCCTCCCCAGGGGTCCCCTCCACCCCAGCCCGACCCTAAGGCGTGTCAGGGCCGCAGAGGGAAGGCTGGGAGCCCAGCTGGGGCCGGAGGAAGTCCCGTTTCCTGCCACCCGGATCCCACGCAGGTCCCCACACTAGGGCCCCAGCTCCATGGGATGTAAGGTGCATGCGGGACCCTCACAAAGAGCCCCGCTCTCCCCAGCTAAATGAAGGGCGCTGTACCCTCAGGTACAACGCCCACCGAGCTCAGATCAGCCCTGCTCTCCCGGAAGCAGTGCAATGGATGCTGGCGACAAAGCACCCGCTTTCCACGGGAGGGGAACTGCGCTGTTTGGTGCCAACACCCCTCTGCACCCTCCCCAGCGCTCCCCACCACGCGGAGAGGGGCCAGCCTCCCTGGTCCCTGCCCTGGGGGCCGGTTCAATCTGCCCCCAGCCACGCAGAGGGCGGCTCTGAGCCCATCCATGAGGGGCCTGCTGCCCCTTCCCGCCTGCACCCACGGGAGATTCTCATTTGTATCTTCAGCAACCGGCCTCCCTCCGCTCAAATCCATACCACCCAGGCCCCTCCCGCCCCCCAATCCGGGACCACGCTTCTGTCCCCTGTGTCTAAGGAAACCTAGCCGGACAGGGAGCACTTTGGGGATGGAGACCCAGCCTCACATCCTGCCCCCAAATCCCAGCTGCAGAACCTTGGCAATCCCCACCCCTCCCCGGCTCCGGGTCACACAGGCTGCGCGCACTTCCATCCTCAGCCCTCCCCGGGCTGCTCTGAGGATTAACCGCCCCAGGACCCAGGGCCCATGTGTATGGTGGCAGCGCCAGCCTGAGGGTTGCAAACACTGAATTCACGGCCGAGTTCTGTCCTGTTGATGCATTCTTTTCAACGAGGAGTTTAGGGGCGTTTTTCTAAAAATCAGTGTTTTGTCCTCCACTTGTTTTTCTGTGGGGAAGACAGGGCGGCGCCCTCCGGGGCTCACACTGCACTTCTGGAGGGTGGGGTCTCCTGTACTCCGTTCCAGGGGCTCGCCAGGCCCCTTTCTCAGGCCCATGGGACTCCAGGTTTAGGGCCCGGTCCAGGTTTGCCCGCTGTGGGCATTGCTGGGGAGGAGGGAAGCTGGAAGTTGGGGTGGGGGCAGCGGCCACCGCTGGGGGTGGGTTTGCCGGCTGTGAGGGAGGGGGCAGGTGGTCTGGGCTCCCTCTGGGCTGGACTATCCCAACACTAAGGCAGGATTGGCGGGGGTGAAGGGGGGAGGAGTGGTCTGGCCACTGAGCTGGGTGCCCACTGGGCGAGTGTGACCATGGTTTGTTTTTTCCTGCGGGACTGAAACCCCCACCCCACCCCCACCCTCCTCACAGATGGGACTGGGTGCAGGCCCGGCTCCCAGCCCCCGTGTCCAGGCTCAGAATGCGCAGCTTAAGTCACAGCAAGATCCCTGCTCCTCAGCAAAGGCCGAGCTGGGGGCAGGGACGCAATGAGAGCCCCAGGCCCCAACTCCATCCACCGGGAATACGGGCCAAAGCGTGGGATGGAGGATCACAGGGAGGACTGCAGAGGGCAACCGTCTGGGGGAGAGCGATGGGCGCTCAGAGGGGCGAGAGAACACGGAAGGTGCAAGAAATGAGAGAGGAAAAAGAGAAAGGAAGACAAGATCCACGAAGGGGGTGGGGGGGACCAAGGGATGAAATAAACGAAGCCAGGAAAGGAGAAGGGTGGGTTCTAGGAGCCAAGGAGAGGGAAGAGGAGGAGGAGGAGGAGGATGATGAGGAGGATGGACCTGAGCACTGGGCTGGGCTGCACCGGGTACTTACATGCCCGAAGGGGTCCAGGTGGTTGTTGGTGAGCTTGAGCTTCTGGAAGGAGACCAGCTGCCGCATCCAATGCGCCCCGGTGGCAGGCGAGTCCGGGTGCACGTACAGGCGGCCCGGCATGGCGGGCTCCGCTTTGCCCGTCACCGACCTAAACCGAGGAACCCGCTTCAGCGCATGCACGCGGTGCAGGCGGGTTTACGCCAGGGCCTGGCCGCTAAGCTGAGCGTGAGAACGATCTGGAAATGGCCTGACCCTCAGGTCTCCCTCCCTGGCTCTTTTTCTCCCACCGCATCAGTGCACGGCCCAGCAGCCGCAGCCTCTGTCTGCCCACAAACAATCCCGGGATCCGGGAGCCTGGGCGTGCGGGAAAAGTCTCGGGGAAAACTCCATCGAGGGCTCTCAAAGGGGGCTTCCTCTTCGGGCCTCTGCACTCTTGGCAGCTGCGGAGAGATCTGCCCACGCTCTCCGCTCTTGCCTGTTTTACTCAAATACCATGGGCCGATTTTGCAATTTCATAAAAAGGCGTGTTCAAAGCGGGTAACTCATAAAAAGTAACTGTAAATGGTTTTATGCCCCCAAAATACCTCCAGCGCTTGGTAACAATACCCTTTTGAAAAATCCACAACCCACAACCCGCGGGTGCAGCGGTACACATAGGCCTGTGACTTCCTCCGAGCCTCCGTTTTCTCACCTCTAAAATGGGGGCTGATGGCTGCTCTTTGGCCCCTTGGAGTGAGGTCAAGGAAATGCAATGGGAAGGCGGCAGCAGCCTCTGTGCACAGTAGGACCTCAGACAATGCAGCTGGGTCCCTGGGGGCGGGGAGCACCCTCCCAACCCGCCAAAAATGGGTGCCTACCATTTATTATCCGCAAACTTGTATCTGTGGTCGTCAGCTGGGACGATGTCCATGAGGAGAATGTACTTCGTTTTGGGATTGAGGCCAGTCACCTTCACTTTGTAACTGGGGAACATCCGTCTGAGAGGGGAAGGAGGTAGAATCCCGAAGGAAAGTGAAGGAAGGAAAAAGCAAAAAGCGAGGGGAGGAAGAGAGAGAGAAAAAGAGACGGGGGGGGGGCGGGGGAGAGGATCTGGATTAAAATGAGTTAAAGCTAATATGAAGAGCATGTCCACAAATTTCAGTGGAAGATCCCTTTAGAAACGGGGAAAGACAAAAGTGGCCCCGGCTCCGCTCTGGCCGAGATCCATCCCGGGTTTCCCTGGAAGTTGCGGGGAGGAGGAAGGCTGAGGAAGCCGCTAGCTGGCCACTGAGTCTGGGCAGAAAATAGAAAGCAGGAGGCAGGGCTCCTGGAGAGCGGGGTGTGAAGGCGACCAGCGTGGGACCCCCATTCCCACTCCTGCTTACTGCTCTTTTCAGAGCCAGACGCCTATTTTTTTTTTTTAAAGTAGGGGCAGGAGGAGGCTTTTTAGGTAAAAAGCTGGTCTCCCCCTCCACCCACCGGGTGCTCTGGCCCATCCTGGCAGCGCCGCCACATCACGTGGGCACCAAAGTGTGTGTGCCCTGGGGACTGGACACAGGTGGGTGCCCACCCAGGCCCGGTCTCGGCTTTGGTCCTCTGCCCCCAGAGGGGAGCTCCGAGGGGGACCCCTAACACAAGCCCCGCAGGAACGTATCCCTAAATGCCCCACAACTTCTCCAGGACTCTCTTCCTGGGAGAAGCTAAACTCGCAGGCCCTCAGCGAAGAAATTAAAAATCCATCCAGATTTGGTTTCAGAAAGAGGATCGGGCGGTTGTGTCCCAGAACTGTGGGCGGGCGCTGTGCCCTCTCCCAAACTCCGGCCCTGCCTCTGGGAGAGTGCGCCCCAAAGTCAGTCTTCTCGGGGCTCGAGGGCCTGCGAGGGCCCAGTGGCTGGATCCGAGGTGGCTCAGGGGTGGCAGGAAGGGGAGCCGTGGCTGGGAGCCGGGTGTTTATCTGGCGGAGGGAGTGCGATCAGAGCGGCGGAGGCCCAGCCGGCCTTTTATAGTTAAATCCTGGGGCTCCGGCTGAGCTCAGAGAGGCAGCGGCCGGGTTAGGCGTTCCTTCCCTTCCCGGCGGAATGGGAAGAAAACCTCAGTTCTTGGTATAAACAGAGCGCGCCTCCGAGTTCACCCGGGCCCGAGCGGGGGAGCAGACATTGTTTAATTTCGAATAATAATAAATGTCACCGTTGTCAGTTTATTGCGGAGGCTTCGGGGGCCGGAGAGCCGGGGGCGTCTGGCGGGGCGGCTCCGCCCTCCCCCTTCTCACACCCGGCGGCTCCGGCCTCCGGGCCTCCCCGGCTGCACACGCCCGGGTTCGGGGTCGGCGCGGGGCTCTCTGCCCTCGGGGACCCCCAGGGCCAGCCCGGGGCGGGAGGCGCCGGGGCCAGGCTGTCCCCGGGCCTGGGCACCCCCGGGGGGGCGGGCGCTCTCACCACAGCGATCCCCACACCGCGCGCCTCTCCCACCCCCTCCCCCGGGGCGAGCATTCCCACTAAAACCCCTAAAAGTCCGCGAGCTTTAAAAAGGGGCTGCGGGGCGAGTCTCCGGGCCTGCGGGCGAGAGGCCGTGTTTATCGGTGTCTGTATATAGAGCCCGGCCGAGCCCCGGTTCAGTTTCAAAGGCTGCGCCTGCGTTCTGTAAACAATGAGGAGGCAGCGCGTACATGCAGCGATTCAGGCCAAGGGGGGGACTCTGGACCCTCTCCAAGGTCAGGGCGGGTGGGAAGGAGGGTGAGGCCAGGGAGCCGCTCTGAAACCCGGGCTCATCTCGGAGTCCTCCCTGCGCCTCGGTTTCCCTGCCCTCGCTCCCCTCGCCTCTCCTCCATCCCCCGAGCACGGCCTCCGCCTCGCTGCTCCTTACATAAGAGGCGAGGAAATGGGCCTCGGAAGAAATAACCTGTTTCCGCAGCGGAGCCTTCCGGTATTTCCCCGCTGACGAGGCCCCTGGAGGAACTCTCCCTGCCTCTTTCCCCGGCTCAGGCAGACACTCTTGCTCCCTCGCTCCCTCTCTCCCCTCCTCCCCCGCCATCTTTCCTCCATCTCTCCCAGTTTCCCCACGGCTCACCTGCCGGCCTTGGTGATGATCATCTCCGTGCCCACCTCGTGGAATTTCAGCCACAGCTCTCTTTCGTGGAGAAACACCTTGATCCCTTCCATGCCCTGGAGGAAGGAGAGAAAAGTCGAGTGGACAAGCCCGGGGACGGTGGGCCTTCGCTCCCCAAACTGGCCCCAAACACGGACACTTCTCCTCCTTCCCTCCGGAGCCAGTGGGCTCAGAGGCTGAAAGCTGTCCCCAGCCCCTGGCTGGGAGCACCAGGCAGCCCCCAGGAATCCCCAGGGGTGGGGGGCTCCATCTAATGTCACCTACACAGGCCCAGAGGGGAAACCCAGGCGGGGGTGCTCCAGGATGCCCAATGCAGCTAAAGAAATCACACCGTCTCAGAAAACCCACTCAGGCTCTGCTCACGGGGAGGCCCAGGAGCCCACAGGCACGCCTACAAGCACGCAGACACTGTAGGTGCGTGCTTATCCTCACCGCCACGCAGCACAGATACAGACACGGTGCGATTTTAAATTTTAAAATATTTATAGACTGTCACAGGTACCCGCCGTCCAAAACAAAGGTGAATGCTCCAACGTCTGTATTAATAAACCTAGGCCCTCTGCGCGCCCAGCTTCCCTCCCGCAAACTGAGCATAGCTTAAGCCATTTAACATTTCTGCTTTCCACTAAGAGTTACTTCACAAAAGCAACGGGGGGAAAAAAACCTATATATAAACTCCTCGTTTTGCAATAATCCATACATGAGCGGATTTGCTTTTCTGTAAAGAGGGGGTTTCCGAAACCGCATGCCCTGTTCTCGCCGCTTCTCTACCAACAGGCGTATTTTCCTGAGACCCGTGAAGGGCAAAGCACAGGGGCGATGGGCTAGTCAGTCATGAAGGACGTCAACATCGCCAGCAGGGCTTTCGCCCTGTCCAGTGCCTTTTCTGGGGAAGCCACCCCGCTTCGTGGCCCCTGACAGCTTGTTTAAAATCACGGAGGTCTACCTGGGCCCCGGGGAGCTCCCAGCACCGGAGTCCGGGGCTCCCTGCGCCCTCCTGCCCTCCCCGCACAGCCAGGCCCCGCGCAAGACAAATGGTGCGCCACTGGCTCCGGGCAGCTCGGGCGGGCGGAGGCGCGGCGAGGCGGGCGGAGGCGAAGGCTGCGGAAGATCTGAAGAGGGGTCAAGCCATCGCTCATGCTGGCCTGAAGCAGCCGCTGACCTGGCCCTTAATGAGGCGCTCGGGGCCCAGCCTACACCTAGCGCAAAGGGTCTGTGTTCTTGTTCCTTGGCCCCAAATAGCTGGGTAATCAAGGCTTCTCTGACGACCCAAACCCTCCTGCCATAAAGGTAATCTTCCTAATGGAGTGGACTGGAATAAGCTGGTAGTGGGGGAGGCAGGGCAGAGGAAGGTGTGACTGAGTGGGGGTCGAAAGGAAAGGGCACAATTAGAGGCAGCGGGCGACCCATCCCTGCCCCTCTCCTTTTAAGAACGGGCTTTGGTTCCTGCGGAAGGCCCCTGAGCTGGATCTCCTTACCTGCTGGGTGAAGGCGGCCTGCGGGGATGCCGGGGACTTGCTGGGGGCCCCCAGCGCGCTCTCCGGCTTTGGGTCACAGGGTAGGTCCTTGGAGTCGGGTTCCAGGGGTGTGTGCGCCAGGCCAAAGCCCTCTTCTGCGTCGGCCATGGTGTGCCCGGGGCCCTGTGACCGCGTGGGGTCCTGCGCTGTGGACAGGAAGCAGAGACGGAGAAAAAGAGAGGGAGAGAGAGAGAAAGAGAGAGGGAGAGAGAGAAAGAGAGAAGGTTGGAAGTGCAGTACAAGTGGCAAGGGGCTGCTGGGCCCCACTTTCCAGCTACCGGCGCCTCCGTTCCTGGCGGCAGGAGGCTGCAGAAGGTCCTCTCATTGGCATCCTTATTATTGCTTTATGATCACGCACAGCCTCTCCCCAAAGGCCCGCGTCTGACCTGCAGGAGACAAGCCCGCATCTGCCCTGCGCAGACTCCCCTCGATAAGCCAGCTGCCCGTCAAATTTGTCCGGACTTCTGGAAGCGCCAATAAAGATAAGGCCTGGGTATTTTTGGAAGCCATTGGGTAGGAACCAAAAACAAAACAAAAACCGAGTGTCCTCCTGAGAATTTTTTTTTTCCTTCGTCGAATTGCAGGAGGTCATCAGCGCCGTGTTTCTGAAAACCCGAATAGTCCCCGGCGGCCGCAGGCAGCACATCCGAGCAACCCGCCTCTTGCAAAACCAGAAACTCCGGAGGGGGAAGATTTGCAGAGGAAAAGAGAATTCGCGTTCATCCTTCATCCGTTTCGGGCCTTATAATCACCAGTCCTTGAGCAGTAAGAGGCCTCTCGTCTTCCTCCACCTCAATAACCTTAAGAACAAGGAGCCAGCGGGACCGGGAAGCTCCGAGGGAGTCGCGCTGCTCCCGGGTGCGGGCGGCCCACGCTCCGCCGCCGCCCGGGGCGCGTTCGCTGGCTTCCTCCGCTCTCCAGCCCGGGCCGGGCGTTTTGTCCGGCGGCCAGGCCGAAGGGAGCTTCTCCGAGCTTCAGCCGGGCCTGGCTCTCAGGAAGCGCAAGCCCAAGCCCGGCACTGACGAGGGCAACGTGGGCCCCAGCGACACCGGGTCTTCGGCCGTGGAATCAGCCGCCTCGGCCTCACGCAACGCGCAGCGCGATCCGGGCTTGCGGGCATCGGAGACTGGGACGCACAGAACCGCGGCCTCGGATTTGTTCGAGCTCCGGGGAGCCGGCCTGTCCCGGCTCTGAGCGCCTGCGATCTCCCCAGTAGGAATGTCCTCTCTCCAAACCCGGGAGGGCAGAAGGAGGCGCCAGGGACGCCCCTCCACTCTCCGCGGCTTCTCCAACCAAAAGCCAAATCCCATCCTCGTCCGCAGTGACCGGAGGAGACTCCAGAAACGGGCGGAGGACGGCTGCCCAGGCCCCACTCCCAAGACCGTCCCTCCCCGCGCCCCGGCGTGTCCAGGAGGCGGCGAGGGGAGCCCCGCGGTCCGCTCACAACAAAAGATAACGGGGCCGCGTCACCCACGTGCGCGCCCAGCACCTCCGGCCGCGGGAGGGTCCCACCCCCGCGCCCTCGCCGGGACCGGAGCTCGGAGCTCGGCGCGGGCGGAGGGAGCTAGATGCAGTTTGACAGAACCAGGCCGCGCGTCCCGGAAGCCGCCCGGCTCCCCGCTCCCCGGCCCGGCCACCGGCCCCGCGGAACCGCTGAGAGATGCGTACTCTGCGGACCCCGGGCTCCCTCCCAGGCCAGCCGCCCGGAGCCCACTCGCTGGGGCTCCCTCCCGGGCCAGCCGCCCGCAGGGTTACCTCACTGGGTGAAGCCGGTGCATTCACCGCGTCCCCGGTGCTCCTAGCAGGGAAGCCGGCCGTGGGGAGGCGGGGGCGCCGGCATGGTGCTCCGGGCTGAGCGGGGACCGGGGGCTGTGCTGCAGGCACCAGGGCGCCCGGCGCTGCAGCCTCGGAGCCACGGGCCCACACACACCTCCGCCGCCGCTCTCCCTACAGACTCCCGAGCTGTCAGGCGCCAGAAGGGCTCCGAATAACGCAAAACAGCAGCGCGGGGGGCGGGGGGCTCAAAGGATAAGCCCCTTGGCCAGCTCCTCCTTACAAGCCCCAGGGAGGGAACGTGGGGAGACCCGAGGAAGCTGTGGGAATGGTCCAAGTCCTTGCCGAGCGCCGCTTTCAGGGTTAAAGTTCCGGAATCCGAGGTAAGATACTCCTCTCTCTCTCTCTCTCTCTCAGAAATACAAGCCGACTCAGCTGAGCTCAGTGACGTTGGCCTGCCTTGGTGCTTACAAAGTACTGGAATTGCCTATCCAACTAGCTCCTCTCTCTCTCTCTCTCTCTCTCTCTCTCTCTCTCTCTCTCTCTCTCTCTCTCTCTCTCCCCCCCCTCTGCCTCCCTCCTTCCTCCTTCCCCATCCCTTCCCACTCCCTCCCCCAACCACATTTTCCATTAGATTTCCCGAACACTCACATCACAACACGACTCTCAAACCCAGACCTGGAGATCACCCCCTCCTCTCCACCCCCTTCCCAGCGTCCATCCATCTCTGCTGCTCCGAGCGCGGCTCGGTGGCTGCAAAAATTCCTGCACAAATCATCGCAAACCAGCCGGCTTCTGCCTGGGAAGACATCTCCGCGCCGGGGGCCGTGCAGAGAGCGGAGTCTAAACGGAGTCTAAACGCAACAAGATTCGTGCACACACACGCCCGGCGCCTCCTCTGCAGCCTCACCCGCGTTCTCTTTCCAGCGCTGACCTCCAGAGGGAGAGCTACGTGACCCCGCCTGGCCCAGCCGGCAGTTAGCCGCCCTGACATCTCTCCCCCTCCCCACTCATCACCCAGACTCTCAGCGACTCCGGGGTGAAGGCAGGGTGAAGGTGTGCTGGGATGGGGGTGGAGATCAAAGATGCCAAGAAATCACCATTGGCCCCCTACCCCCGGGGCCACCAGACCTCCCTGGCTGGCTGTGTACACAGGCGATGCCCAGTTTTATTAAAATAATCAAACAGTCATTGGGGGCTGGCTGGGGTTTTCATCTCCCGTTGGCTTCTCTCCCTGCGCCCCCCCCCAAATATTTTATTTTTGAGGGTCGAGTTGAAAAGGTCAATAGAAGCGTAAACACAGTTGGTATCTCAGTCTGAGCCGACCCAGATTGGAGCCCAAGAGCTTGGGGTAATTGTCAGGGCTCCTGCTCTCCTCTCCTGTACCCCCTCACCCTGTTCTTTCCTGGGACTCTGACAAGCGACGTGGACCTGCAGGCCAGGGTCTGGGTAGAGGGGTTCAGGAAGGAGAAATGTTCCGGAGACCGGCCACCCCTGGGGGGATCCTCCGTGGCGGGAACTGAGGGGAAGGCAGGCCTGACACATCCCTGCTGCGGAATGGCAGAGCGAATTGCCCAGCCCTGGCGGCGGGCGGGCGGGCGGCCTCGGAGGGAAGCAGCCCGGGCACTTGCTCCTTCCTGGTCCCTCTGCACCATCCAGGTTTGTGTGCGCTCAGCCTGTCACCGAGGCTGTTTATTTATTTGTGGAAACACCCAGGCCCTTCCGAAGTGTCAGCTCCCAGGACTCGGGGCTGGCTGAGGAGGAGACCCCCGGGCCAAGGACTGGGAAACAAACATGGCCCCAGGCGGAGGCTGATAGTCCGCATCTCTGGCAAAAGGAAAGGGAAATCCAGAAAGACCCCTGCAATCCCCGTAAATGCGCCGAGATTTGCGGATAAAATAAATTCCCATAAATAACCTGCCGGCCCCTCTGGAGAGAGAAAATCCGGACTCCCCCAAGCCACTGCCTGGCCAGAGGCACGGAAGTTTGTGGCTCCGAGAGAACGGGTGCGGGCCACCAGGCGAAATTGGGGTTCTGAAGCCCCCAGGGGGGATCTGTTCCTGCCAGGTGACACCCCGAAGGCAAAATGCAAGAGCCTACACTCTCCCGTGGCCCTGAGAGCTAGCACCTGAGAGGGGGGATTCTGCTGGGAGCTGGGGCGGGAAGCTTGGGGGGCTGGAAACAGGCGAAGAGGCGAGAGAAACCTATCCCCCCCTCCTCTCCAGAGCTTTCCAGGGGGGTACACTCACCTCCAAAAATCCCACCTCTTCTATCCGGTGCAAAAGCCGGGCGTGACGCCTCACTGGGGTGGGGGGCTCAGTGACGAGTTTGAAAAAAGGCCCCCAAAAGATATTCCTTTTAGGTCAAACCTTCTTCCAGCGTCTGTCAAGAGTCGCATGTACCTCCCAGCTCGAGGTTGGTTTGTGGTCTTCGACAAATTAAATATTACTGTTTATTACCAGGCATACCCCAATAAAATAAAGAGGCAACCAGGCGATACCGGCTATCTCACCAGCCGCTGCACCTATAGGACTTGGAGACGTCACGAGTCACGCAACCGGTCCGCGCTGTCACGCTCGGCTGGGGGGCAGTGGCGGGAGGTTAATTTCTCTCCATCTTCGCCTATCAGTCCGCGGGTCCGAGCAGCCACCAGTCCCGGACGCCGGGGCCACGGGAATAAATAAAGAAATAAACAAACCCCCGCGCCCTCTGGGGAAATGGGGGTGGCGGACCTCAGACACAAATTGAGCCAAGATTGATTTTCCTAGGGCGGGGGAGGGGGCCTTCTGGCGAAGGGAGGCGGGAGGGAGCCCACCTCAGCCCACGCTCCGAGAGCCATCTGGTTGTTCCAGGGGAGACGAGGTCTCTTGCAGGGGAGTCCCCTAATTATTTAAAAATTATAATTTTTTTTTATTTTAAGGAGGAGCTCCGGGCAAGGGCGTGTTGGGCGTCTCCGTGGCTGGTTCTGTTCTGGACAGAACGGACGGAGTGGCTCGGGGTCCCCTGGCAGGCCAGCTTGGGAGTCATGATGGGGCTATCGCGGAGGGGAAGTGACACAGAGGCGCTGGGAGGGAGACAGAAAGCCCGGGCCTGAGTGTTTCTTGCGGAGAAATCGTCCATTCTGCCAAAGGCCCTTTAGCTAAGTTGTGGGGTCCTCGGCGGCCCAGCGCTGCCAGGCTGGGGCAGGGTGCAAGGGGGTGACGGGTGGGCATGGGTGGGCATGGAGAGAGGCTATTTCTGCAGAGAGAACGGTAGCTCCCTCCGGGGCCTGCAGAGCGACCAGGGGCTCTTTTGTTTTGTAATAATGTTTGTTGTTATTTCTGTTCCCATCCATGGGCACAACTTCCACCCCCGTGGAGGGTGCAGCGAGCTTTCTGCAGCCGCTGGGACCGCCCGGGGGTTCCTCGGGAATCGCGCTGCGGAGACGCCCCCGGCGGCAGCAGGAAAGGAGAGCCGGGCCTGCCCAGCCCTGAGCCGGGAGCAGCGCCGGCCTTTGGGAGGGTAAGTTCCCGCCTCCGGACCCCGAGGGAGCCGGGCTTTGCAAGCTGGATTTGCCCCGGCTTCGGGGTTCGGTCCTGGCTTTCACGCGCCCCTGTCCCTCGGGCTTTGCGAAGCCTGGCCTGGCTCCAGGCCCGGTTCTTCTGGGGCCGCGGCGGCGGCAGAAAGTGCAGGGACGCGGTCACTGAACCCCCGGAGCTAATGAGGTCAGGCCCGAGGGGAGAGGGGGAGAGTGCACGGCCGGTCCCAGCGGCGGATGCGGGCGCCGGGGCCAGCCGGGCCGCGCACTCGGCTGCTTCCAGCCAGCAGCGCCCGGGGCCCGAGCTCCGGCCAGGCCGCACAGGCTTCCCTGAGCTTCGCTTTCGTTTCCCCGAGCTACTCATCCCGTCTTCTCCCGGTCCAAGGCCCGGGGGTGCAGGGCAGCTCCCCGATGCCAAGTGCACCGCCACCCGAGGCCCCAAACCCAAAGCCTGGAAAGGAGTTGCTATTTGACCTCAGGGCCGAGGTGGGCCGGAAGCCGAGGCCTGGGTCCCGCTGGGGCTGCAGGAGAAGGCAAAACCCTGAGGGAGACAAGTTCCTTTCCATAAGACTCCCTTCCCTTCTCTCAAATGCCCGGTGCAGGGCCCAAAACCACCCCAAAGATGCACAAAGCATCCCCCCAGCTCAGCCCAGGCCCCTTTCCGCAGCGCAGACTTGGGCGAGATTGGGGAATATTCCTTCTCTTCCCCAGGCATTGGCAGTAACTGGAAAAGGCTGCCAGGCTCACATCCCTTCCTCCAGGCCAGGCCTGGGTTCCCCGACCCCGCCAGCTCCGTTTGCTCCCAAATCTATTCACACACACCCCCCCCCCCCAATTCTCAGCACCCCTGCCCCGTTCTAATACCGCCCCGGGCAGGAGAAGGGAGTTCCTATTTAAAACATCAAAACGAAAACAAAAGCCAGGACCCACTGCTCTTGGCCTTTTTTTCCTCTTTAGTCATGCCTGGTTGTTTTTTGTTTGTTTGTTTGTTTTGTTTTGTTTATTTTGTTTTTAAGAAAGTCGCCGTCTTCTTTTCTCTCCAAAGAGAACTGGCTTAAGAATCCGCCCCGTCTCTGCACCTCTCCCTCCAGCTGGCCTGACTCAGGTCTCCGAGGAAGGAGAGAAGTAGGGAGAAGTGCGCTCTGGGCTGGGAAAATTCATCCGAATAACAATAGAAACGATGACAAAACTAAACTTTGACCAACTCATTTTTCGAAAGCGAGGGTCAGGCCGAGGGTGGGAATTTCCCTGGTTTCTCAGGGGGTCACTTTCCCTCCTGCCCAGTTACATCTGGCTCCTGCGCTTTCTCCAGGGCTGCCGTGTCCGTCTGACTCCCCAGTGTTTCATTCCCTGCCTCGCCTCCCCTCTTCTGACCGGATGTATTTGAGAAGGAGACCGGCTGTGGGTGTTATTTTAATACCCATTTCCCCCCAATATTTCCACCGACAATTACTCCCACGTATTGTACATAGCATCGTGCACGTCGGTGTGTTGTTTTCCTGTACCTCCCGCTCCCGAAGTTCAGCGGGTGAGGTTTTTGTCCCTTGATCTAAGTTCATGAAATGAGAAATGGAGACCGAACATGATTGGGGGGGGAGGGCAGCTGTGATAGTGAACAAGCTGAGCTGGGGGTGCAACGGAGCGCTCCTCTTGTGCCTCCAATCTGGGGGTCCGCAGTGGGGAGAAGGGTGCGAGTCTTGAGCTGAGAGAGCGTGGGGCCCCCGGTCCTGGGTGCTGAGCTGAGCCTGAGGACTCCGGCCATATCCACCGCCCAGAACCTCTAGAAAGACCTCCAAGGCCTCCAGGATGTGGGGGACACAGAATTCCCGGCTGTGACCCGGGTGATAGAGACTCCAGGTCTGGGGTGCAGGCGGGGGGGGGGGCTGTCTGGAGACCCCCTCCCTCACCAGGAGGGTGCAATGGAAACTTGGGAGCCCGCTGCTCTCGGGGCTCTGGAAAGACAAATTTTCTTTGGCAAAGGGAACGGTGTCGCGCTGTCGACACGGCAGACTATTTTTCTTGTTCTCTCATAAGGAGGGGCTGGGGTGGGGGGAGAAAAGAGAGCAAGAAAGAGAGGGAAATTAAATCCACACGTGTTAAGCTTGCTCAAAGGGCCGGATTCAAAACCAGAGATGAAGCTGCGCCTCCAGTTCTGGCTGCCCGCCGGCCTGCTTCCAGCCAGCCCCAGCCTGCGAGCGAGCAGGCGAGCGAGGCGTCCCCACCGGGGAGAATTCGATCCCACGTTTCATAAAGCGCTTTGTGTAAGGGGGCTGGGGGCCGTGGTTCCTTTCTGTCTACACCGCAGAGTCAGAACTCGGGGCGGCAAAGAGAACAAAGGAGGTCGGATGGCGAGGCCGCGGCCCCTGTGAGCCAGCGCGGAGCGGCTCCCTGTCTCCCCGGGAACCACGGGCTCAGGGGACATCCATGGCCACGACGGGCCAGCCCCGGTGGTTTGGGAAAGTCCCGCCATCTGCCCCGGCTTTTCGGACTGGGGCCTCCCTGGGTGGAGAGAGCCTCGGGAGCTGTTGTGTGGACGCTGGAATCGCCAGCTTAACCTGCTGGCTGACCCGCACCCCAACCCGCACCCTGCTCTGTGGGGAGAGACTCGCTGGTTAGGAGGCCGCAGGCCCAGCCCAGGCGCCCTGTGCACTCCGCCCGGGGAGGGGGCGGATGGAGGCGGCCAGCCCTCCCAAAGCTGCGAGTGAAAACTCTAGTAATGACGTTCAGGAGGTGAAGGGAGGCGGGTGGGGGTGCGGGTGCGGAGGGCGGCCAAACCCCAAACTGGAGGGATCCGTCACCAAAACGATTGCTTGGGCGAGACCTCTAATTTTTCTTCCCTTTCAGCCCGGGATGAGGCGGGAGCACCCGCCTCGGGCCTCCGCGGCCTCGGTGTGCGAGTCTCCGTCCTGCGGGGGCAGCGGCCACAGAGGGCCCGGAGCAGGGGACTCCGGACGCGCGCTCCCCCGCCACAGCCACACCCGGGAAACACTGGGGTGCAGCGGAGCGCCTGGCCATGTTTCGGGGAGGGCTGTGGGTTTGCTGTCCACCATGGCAACCCCAGAGCTGCCCCATCCAACAGCAACCGGGCGCCCAGGCACCAGCATGCACGTTTGCAGCATTTGCAGCGCGTCCTGAGGCCTGCAAGGCGCTGTCCCTGGGGCGCCGGGCTGTCCCCAGGCCCTTCGAAGTAGCTTCCCTGAGGTTCCCCGAGGAGGCGGGGGCAGAAAAAAACCCTCTTTTTTCAGCGGCGGAGAAAATGGAGATTTAGTGCCATCGCTGGGGGAGGCTGGGATCCTGAGCAAAAGCCCCGCCTAGGGTTCAGGGCGCTGACCAGGGGGCGGGCAGCGGTGCAGGCATCGGCGGGTGGGATGCGTCCATGGCAGAGTCCCCGCACCTCATCTCACAGTCTGCCCCGCCCCCACCCGCCCCAGACTCCCCCGGAGTGACTTCCCCTAAAGGGAAGGAGGAAGGTCGGCAGGGAGGCTGGCGGTGTCCGTGTCTGCAAGGTCTGTTAATAAATTCTCCTCCATTTCCTTCTAGAGAGAGCATGTCTGCGGGAGGCTGCGGGAGGAGCACTGGGCGGGTGCACTTCCTTCTTCTTGAACCAGGAGGACGGGCCCTTCTCTGGGGACGGACAGTGGCCGATGCCCTTGGCATTTTGGAGGCGGTGAGCTCTGAGCAGGACCAGGGTGCTGAGCAGCCCAGGCGGACCAGCGTGCGGGGATGGAGGGTGCCACTGAGGGGGCACCGAACGCAGGGGTCCTGGCCCTGGTGCCGCAGAGGCCTTCAGCCATGGGGTGGGAGTGACTCCTCTTTTGGGGGCCTACCCTGGGTTTCACTCTGTGCCCCACTCATCTCCAGCTGGCCAGGAAAGACAGCACTTCTCCTCCTCCCTCTGCAGCCACTGGGCTCTCTCTGCCACCAAAGCCTGGGGCTGGCCAGGCTGCCCCGCAGCCGACAGAGACTCCCTCCACCTCAAGACCCCTGTCCCCTTCCCTCCCAGCACCTCGCATTCATAGTCTCAGGAGAGCCCCGTCCCTGTCTACATGGTCACAGAGAATGTGAGCATTTGAGGCTCACAACCAGTTGGCACTGGAGGTGCAATAATAACTAACATTCTGGCAGCAGGTTCCACTGGCTCAGGTGGCTAAGAGAGGGCAAGGACTGGACTAGTCACAGTCTGAAAAAGACCCCACCCCCACCCCAACCCACCCCCGCACCTCCCAGTGAGGTGGGCAGCTGGCTGTGGGCTCAGCCTGCGAAGGTCCACGAAGGCTCACGCTGGGAGGTGCAGAGGCCGCAATGGGCTGGGCGGCCTGCAGGGGCCTGGGCGCTGATTCCCAGCCTCTGGTCTCAGGGCGGAGGGAGCAGGCCGGGCTGAGATGCGCTTCCTGAGCCGTGGAGTCTGGTGGCCTCAGGGTCCCAGTGGTGGGCCTCAGGGAGGTCCCAGAGCCTCAGGGCTCAGGCTGGGGACCCAGAGGGACTTGTGCCTGGCGCCCGGCCTCAGGACTTGCAGTCCAGTCACGTTCTCTGTTTGTCCCTCTTCTAGATTCTTCTTCCTGTTGCGTTTGTCCAGCAGCAGGGCACACCTCCCCCACGCTGGCTCCGGGTGCTGGTTGCCACAGTCCAGGTTAAGAAGGAAAGGTGGGGGGCTCTGAGGTCCAACCTGGGAGGAGGGTCCCAAACGAAGGCTCCAGGGGTCCCCGCTCTTTCACTTCCTCTCTTCGGTTTCCTCTACCAGGGACCAGCCAGCGCTGGTCTTCTAGGGGCTGATTCTTCCTGACTCCCACCCCCACCCCCATCCCCACCGCCGCCCCCACCCCGACCCCCACCGCCACCCCAATGCAAAAACGTGCTTCCTCTAAGGCTGCCCCATCTCCAGGCTCACCAGGGCCTCCACACCTTCCTCCCCAGGGCAAGGGCCAGATTCCGTTTGGGGCTTTCTCCTGGCTCCAGCTCACCCACAACAGCTCTGCCAAGAACCGATTTCACGTGTGCCCTGGTGAGTGCCAGGCCCACCGTGGTGCCTGACCCACAGCACCCAACTCGAGCTCAGGACCAGCCCCAGGCTCCACCCTGTGACTCAGCTCCAGGCCCCGCTCAGCACCCGGAGAGGCGGTTGTGTGACTCCTTCCATGTGGCTCAATATGACTCTGTCGCCCGGTGGGCGTGGCTCAGTGGTTGAGCATCAACCTACGCACCAAGAGGTCACAGTTCGATTCCCGGTCAGGGTACGTGTCCAGGTCTCAGGCTTGATCCCCAGCGTGGGCCGTGCAGGAGGCAGCTGATCAGTGATTCTCCCTCCTCACTATGTCTCCACCCCCCTCTCCCTTCCTCTCCAAAATGAATAAAACACATTTTTTAAGTTCCCGCTGTCCTCCGGCCTCTGTGGTGCCAGTGCGGCCTCCGAGCAGGGACTTGGGGTGCCCCTGGGCTGTGTGGGAGTCTGTGTGCCTGTCCATGTGTGTCCCTCCTCCAGAGCGGGCATTGAAAATAGCTGTGGACGTTCCTGTGCGCCTCCTTACACACAAACATCCGTGAGTCTGCGCTGTACATGGGAGTCCACGGGTGTGTGTATGTAGTTCGGGCCCGTGTGGGTCCGTGTCAGGCTGTGGAATGCCCGTATGCGTCAGGGCGGCCACCGCCCACACGTCACCACAGGTCAGACGGTGCCCTGGGCCCGTAACCCCGTCTTCAACTCCCCTTGGCTTTTATTGGCCGCTTTTATGATTATTATTTTACCGACAGCTCCACGCGGGCAGCGGCGGCCGGCCTCCGGGACGGCAGCCGGGGCTGCCCCGCGCCGACGGGAGGCCACGGGGGCTGCCTGCGGGCTCCCAGGCCCCCGGGCTCTATATTTGGAAACGAATTCCACAGCCACTTCCTGGGAACTGGGCGAAAGGTGCCTGGGAGCGGAGGAGACGGCGTCAGAGGAGAGCCCCCTCCCTCCCTGCCCCAGCACTGGGGGAAGCCCCCACACCCTGACCGTCTGGAAGCGCCGGGAAAGCCGGGGAAGAAGGTCAATAGCATGGCCTTAGCCATGTCCGCTGCCAGGTGGGTGCGGAAATACCAGGGACTCACCGTGTAAAGAATCTGGCTGTCTCCCCGCTAAGTGTGCACCGAAACCCATGCAAAATAGAATGGAGAGAAAGGAAAGGGCCCCATCCACACGTGACAGACAGGAGGCAGCGTGAAGGAGGGGTGGTGAGTGTGAGTGCACGGGCATGTCCAGCAACCACCCAGCATCCCCTGCGTGCGCACCTGCCCCAGGACAGGTGGTCTCCCGTCCTGACCACGGTTACTTTGGGAAGTTGGTCCCAAGCAATCAGGTGCTGCCCACCTCATGCCCACACAGCCTCCGGCCTCGTCCCCAAGTCCGTGGGCCGGGTGGGCTGTGTGGACACCAGGCTGTGTGGACACCAGAGGGAAACCTGGGGAGCAGCTCTCACTGGGCCGCTGAGCCCACCCCTCACCAGCCCCGCCTGAAAGCAGCCGGGCCTGATTCCTCCTGCCACCTGTGCCCTGGGGCCGGGAGGCAGCTGACTGGCCTGGGCCCTGTGCCCCGGGCCCTTGCTGACACCCCTGTCACAGCCTCTGTCCCCAAGGGGTCACCACAGGTCAAACGGTGCCCTGGGCTCATAGGGAGTCACTTTGGGCACATGCACAGTCACCGGATTGTGTGGCGATCCTGTCACACACACGATCAGGGCCACCCCCACATATGTAAGTGTGGTGGTTTTGTGGCACACGGCGCTGGCCATACTACTCATCACACATACACATACACACACTCACTGACTGTCACACACACACACACACACACACACACACTCATTTCACAAAGACACACACCCACCTGCCACACCAGGTCAGACATACACACCTCGGTCACACAGCCGCCCACAGGCTCACACCTGCCCACCTGCAGGCATTCACTCAGCCACACACAACCACAAGCGGCCATACCGCCCACAGTCACACACAGAAAGCCTCTCACGCAATGAAAGGCCTTCACCCTGAGTCACACGCACGAGCTATGTGTGCCTACACGTACACACGTGCTCCTCTGCACGGTAACGTTCACAAGAGCTCCTTGGTGATCTGCATTCAGTCAGTGGGTCCACCGGCTGGAAGTTATTCACCAATGGCCTGGTGAGGTTCCCCTGGAGAGAACCCCTCCCTTCAACAGCTCCCCCAGGCTGCGAGTCACCGGTTCAGGAGGTGGAAGGACGTGTGGGTTTTTGCAGCTGGCGAGGGAGAAGCCACTTCCAGAACCCTCCCCTCGCCACCTGTCACCCCGGGCTTTGACGAAGGCCCATCCCAGAGGGCAGGACCCACGTGAGCTTCAGCAACAGCTAGTCCACCTCTTCAATGTTACACACGGGGAAACTGAGGCACAGAGACAGACAGGGAAGGGCACTGTCAGAGTTCCCCGAGACTTTAGAACAGAACTGGGACTGGAACCCCATCTTCTGCCTCACGCAGACCACACTGCATGACTGCTGGATATCCCCCCCCACCCCGAGTCCCCCAGCCTTCACCACCCTCCACCCACTGGCCAAGTCCAGCCCCCAAGTGCCTTTTCCATTGACCTTTAGAGAGAATGGAAGGGAGGTGGAGAGACAGAGAAGCAACGATGTGAGAGAGACACGTGATTGGTTGCCTCCTGCACATGCCCCGACAAGGGCCAGGGTGGAGCCTGCAACCAAGGTACGTGCCCTTGACCAGAATGGAACCTGGGACCTTCAGTCCTCCCGCCGGCCCATGCTCTATCCGCTGAGCCAGACACGGCGTTCGTCCCTCTCACATAGTCGGTGCTAGATAAATATTTACTGAGTGAAACATAAAGGTATTAGAACCGATGGGCTCAGAGCCCAAGAGGTGGAGACACAGTCAAAACATACATGAGGATCCAGAGAAAGGCAGGACGCTGCAGAACCCGCCTTACGTCTGTGCATCACATTAAAGCAAAAGTCTGAATGGCGATGGGCTTGGAGAGAACAGAACCCTGCGGCAGGTTTTGGACTTTGGGCGCCTGGAGGCCTGAGCTGCTCCTGTCCCTGCCCCAGGTGCCTCCTTCCCCCCTCCCCTGGCCATCCCTCCCTTGCCCTCTGGGCCATCCTTTTTTTAATTATTATTATTGATTTTTTTACAGAGAAGAAGGGAGAGGGATAGAGAGCTAGAAACATCGATCAGCTGCCTCCTGCACACTCCCCACTGGGGATGTGCCCGCAACCAAGGTACATGCCCTTGACCGGAATCGAACTCGGGACCTTTCAGTCTGCAGGCCAATGCTCTATCCACTGAGCCACACCGGTTTTGGCTGGGCCATTCTTTTGTCCCCCTCCATCTGTCCCCAGGAGCCTGGAGAAGGAGCGGGCAGATAAGTGAAAGCAGCGTTTTTATAGGCCGAGAAAAGCCATGCTTATCCAGAAAGGTCTGTCCCACCTCCCAAGTGTCCCTGATTGGGCATTTGCCCAGTGCCCTCTCCCCCCGGGCTGCAGACACTCTGGGAAAGGTGTGTCCTCCCTGGCCTTCTTCCCTCCGCTCTACTGCCCTCTGTCTCCACCCCCCCCCCTTCCCCGTGAGGACGGGCCCACAGACCTTTTCCAGGAAGCCTTGTGATCAGGAGGGAGGTGAGGGGTGAGGAAGAGGGGCGGTGGGGAGGGAGGGGTCCGGATTTCCCCAAGTGGGTTCGCTGTGCCACTATTTAATGGTGCCAACTATATTAAATTCTATACTCTAGCAGCCTCTTAAATCCATTTATGGCCCACGCTAGACCCTGAGCTGTAATAATAATAAAAATAAAAGAAAGAATTTATGCACCCAGGGTGTGGACCCGTCCCGGGCAGAAAAGAAAGAGCTGTTTCTAGCTGATCCCGCTGGCCTGCCGCCCGGCCCCTGGCCTCCCGGGCCCCCTGGGCCCAGGCTCCCAGGAGCAGGGAGGGCACCTGGGCTCCGAGGGAGGGGCGGTCTCTGGAGCCCGGAGGAACGTCAGCTTAGAGGAGCCCTCGCGGGAGCTGCTTCCTTGTGTTCTGTTACTTCTGTTACGTTTAGAGCAGGTCTAGACCCAACCTGTGGCCCGGAGCGACGCAGAGAGCAAAGACCTGGGGTGGGAACGGCTTAGAGAGGAAGCTGGGGGTGGGGGGTGGCCCCCAGACATCGCCGCGGGTTTCAATCCAGACCCTGTCACTTCCTGGTAGTGGAAGCTGAGCACGTCTCTTCCCCCCTCTCAGCCTCAGTGTCTCAATCTGTACAATGGGTCTCCTAGGAGTACCAGCCTAAAAAAAAAAAAAAAAAGAATACCAGCCTCGGTGGTGGTGTGAGGGAAAATAAAAATGATATCATGCCCTAGTCAGTTGGGCTCAGTGGACAGAGCGTCGGCCTGCGGACTGGAATCCAGGATGCGATTCCAGTCAAGGGCACACACCCCAGTTGCAGGCTCCTCCCAGGTCCGTGCCCTGGTCAGGGCACGTGCAGGGGGCAACCAATCAATGTGTTTGTCTCACATCACTATTTCTCTGTCTTTCCCGCTCTCTCCCACTCTCTCTGACAATCAATGGGAGAATATCCTCGGGTGAGGATTAACAAACAAACAAAGAAAAGAAATGACACCACTTATGTCATTTCACCTCATGCTCACATCCTGGAGGAGCCCCTCCCACATGACTTTGAACTTGGCCTCTGTGTCTTGCTTTGGCCATGGGACAGGAACCAACTTAGTTACTGCCCCATGGCCAAACCCACCATGCATTTCTGCTCTCTCATCCTTCCTTTTCTCTGTGTACAGCGGGGCCAGCCCGCTGGAGGGTGACATGGAGCTGAGTCAGCTGGGCTGTCCCAGCCAAAGGCTGAGATAAGTAAGAACGCCCAGCCAAGATCAGAGAAGCTGTGCAGATGGCTCGGCTGACCTGCAGGGGATCACCAGCACCTGGGGAAGCCCCAGCTGGCAGACCCTCCCGGCTAACCTGTAGCCCCATCAGCAAAAATACATGCCGTTGCTGTAGCCCCTGGTGCTGGTGGCTATTTGTTACGCAGCATGAGTCTGCGGTTGATAGCTAATACAGAGCCTTGAGCTGAATCCAGCCCCGACGATCCCCACATCCCAGGCTTGGCCAAGGAAAGGGAGTTTTAAGGTGTTTAGTGGCAAAAGTTCTGGCCCCGACTTTACTTTCAAAGGTTGGTTCTTTAAAGCATCAGAAATAGATGGGTGCTTCCGACTTCCAACCATGGAAACGGGAGAGGACAAGAAGTGAGGGAAATTCCTATGGGGCCCCAT